ATCCACACTGACAGTTTTAAATGAACATTTTGTATAATTTTCACATCCTGGGAGAAACCTGTTCCTGCTTGACTTGACCTAGTTACAGCTACAGCTAGCTGCTGCTGCCACTTTGGCTTTAAAATAAAAAACAATAGTTCTATGTAAATGAATTGTGATAAAAAACTGACCAGTATGTAAAAGTTTAATAAATACTGTTCACAAGAACTATCATGAGGTCTTTTTTCACTCATTTTGTCACAGGTTTTATTTAATTTCTCCAAACAAATGTTGTCCACAGAGCTATAGGTGAATAATTAAATGTCTTTTATCTTTTCACAAAAAAACTTCAAAACCTCTGAACAATCATTTTAAAGACAAAGTTTACATGAGCTGCAGCAGCAATAACTAATAACTGTTTTTGACACCAGTGTCTCTGTAATGAAATACTGCAGCTGTGTTCATGTATGCCACTTTTAACACCAAAATGAGATGAAAAACAAACTTTCATTTCATAGATGTGCTCCTGTAAAGTCCTGATTGTTTCCAGCCACTGATGAAGACTTGTASATGTTACTGCTTTGGCTTGTGATGGCGTCAGAATAAAACCTGAGCGTCWGTATCAGGGGAAGGGAATCCCCTCTGAGTTTCCTCTGAGGATGACTGTAACAGCCTCAGAGCTGGGAGGCCACAAGGTTTGCACTTAGTGGTTTCGACTTACTTTCCATCAGAGAAAAGGAAAACAGCRACTTAAATGAAACTGGTTTCTCTGACTTCCTTTTTCACTCAGTGATGTAAGTTTTTATGATTTGAAAAACTGTTTTTCTTTGCTTTAAATCAGGGGATCAAACTCAGTGACACAAGGGTGCCAAAATTCAACACTTGGTCTGAGCCGAGGGACAATTTTTGTCAATATATACAGAAAAATATATTCTGGATTTAAATGTTATCTAACAAATTATTCTTCTAGAACTAGATTTTTTTTCTGAATCATATTTTACATAGTGTTTAGACTCTAACAAAT